TATTTATATATTAGGTTCTATACAAATTTATTTCTCTTGTTTTGCAAAATACATATTGAGAATATATAGTGATTACATACTTTTCTCGTATTTCTTAACTTGTTTTTATAGTATGTCTCATTCACGTCAAGCAAAGAATTATTTTGGATCCCCAATTACAGTTCAACGTTCAGCTTTCTATTATCACTTGAGTTTATTTTTTAATGCTGATCCCTAATTTTCTAGTAGCTCTTTAAGTTCAGTTTAAGCTTTTTCAAAATAAAAAATAAAAAATGAAACCGTTTAACCCGTCAGCGAAGTGCAGTTAAGCGTGTTGAACTTTTACATAAGATTTTGTTTTAGCGCATCCGTCGCAGGCCAAGTGCACTTAATCACATGGAAGTGTTGGCCAGGATGCAGGACGAGGCATAGCGAAAGAAGAGGGTGGGGGCAGGGGGGGGTGAGAGTGAGAGAAAGAAAAAGAGAGCGAGAGACAGTGACAGTCAGTCAGGTGTCCATGGTGTCACGTTTTGGGGCGACAGATGCGCTGCTTCTAGCAAGGCACGTACGCAGCTCGCGGCGCCCGTTGTCAGAGAACATAAGCGAAAAAGGAAAAAGCTTAAACGATGCCAAGTGGCAAGCGGGCCCAGGCTTGGCCTGGCTGGCCTGGCGTGCTCTGAGCCTCGCAACTACAGCGAAAGGGCCAAAGAGCAACATGGCCAAAACTCTTCAAATGTTGAGAAGATGCTGCTTCATGTGCTAATTGCACTGTCAGCTTGAGTGTGTGTAGGGCAGAGAAAGAGTGAGAGAGACAGGGGTAGAGACAGTGAGAGAATGAGCGCAGACGGAAGCAACAGCTCAAATGCCAAATGAGACAAACACGCACGCACACGAGCACACACACACAGCCGCATCCACACCCACACTCACACAAACATAGCAAAATTTGTTGCATACTTTGCCACAACAACAAAAATTTCGCCGCATTGAAAATATCGCCGAAATATTTTCGCATCAAATTTCAGGCCATTGAACAGTTTCACATTTGGTTTACACCTTGTTCTATCGGCTCTACTCTATATATATATATATATAGATCTATGCATATTTATATATATGGGCGAAAAAGTAGACACCAAAACAAACAACAGAATTTTTATCGGCATGCCGAGATAAAGCGCCGGCAACAACAATAGCAGCAGACACACAAAAATTTGTAGCTCGAACAGACGCCGCTGGCACTAGCCAAAATCGATTTTTCCAACCCTCAACATGTGGCACAGCCGGCCCTTGCCTTTTGGCTCTCTGTCTATCTGTCTATCCGTCTGTCCGACTGTCTGAAAGTACCAAAAGGCGACGCAAATAGCAAAACAAATGCGACGACAGCCGACTCTCTGCAGCATTGGAAGTTTGTCAAAGTTCTGCCAAAGGCAGCGAAAGGTCAGAGAGCGAAAGAGATTTGGTCCGAAGTAAATAAACCAAGTTGGAATTTGTATGCGATGCGATATGGGTAGATCTAATAATAACTTTTGTTAAGTATCGATACAGACATAGCAAAAAACAAAAAAGAGAAAATGTTGATAATGTGTGGAATCAGCAATCAGGCGCATTCTGCTAAAAAGGTTGCATTAAGGTGAATTAATTATGTTTTTAGGGTGTTTTACAATACTGCAGAGTGAATTCCTGCGAAACACTCAAGCGCACTTGCAACACTGTCCAACAATAGCGAATATCTAGATCCTAGACAAATCTTCGTTCATCTATCTACAAGTATTTACAACACTTAGAATAGTGATTAGCAACACTGTTCCAGAAAAGCGAATGTCAGTCAATGGTAAAAGCGATTAGTTTCGTGTAGCGAGTAGTGGAGTACACATATGGAGCTCGTCTAAAGCAAGTGGATTGAACAAGCTCGAGATTATATCAACCACATCCCGGTAGATCTTCCAATTTTCATACAAAACTCTGTGTTTAAAATTTGAGATGAGTGAAAAAAAACTTAAAATTGCAAATTAATTTCAAGCGTGCAAGAATTTCTTAAACTTTGCTTATTGGCATTTGGCAACACTTAAAATACCGCAGAAATAAATACTTGCCTGAAAAAAGTGTTGGAAAACATCTTGGAAACTAACAACGCTTTGCAACACTGAGCTGCAGTCATATATACATAATAGCATGTATTACAACACTATATCAATTGTGATAGTAAACGTAATTTGTGAAAATTCTCTGGTTTTCTACGGCATTAATATGGTATGTTTTACAACACAGTTATTAATTTGTGAAAGTCATCATGAAGTTTGTAATTACATAGTTTAAAATATGCAATTTATATCTATTTAATTTATTTACCTTCATACACTTGAGACTTCGTTGTCAAAGCTCAACAATTTTTGATCGCTGCCCGCTTGACAATTTGCTGTCATGTAGACGCATCTTTTGCCACGCCTCCAACGCCAGTCACCAGAGCTCCTTCTGCTCGTTTGCCACGCCTCCACGCCGAAGAGGCGACGCCGTTGCGTCTGGCGGCGTGACGCAGCACAGCAACATCAACAGCCATAGCGCATAAATTTTGCATGCAGTCAGCCAATGTACACAGAGTGGTGGTGGTGGTGGTGCTGCTGCTGCTGCTGCTGCATCACCACCCAACCACACCGCAGCCATCTCCAATCCGCTGCCAGACAGTTAAAAATAGATTGCATACTCGTCTGACCGATGCTGCATTAGCAGCAGCAACTGGAATCGTTTCAGTGCCGCTGCTTAGTCAGCGCAAACCAGCCTTTGCCTGCCATCCTTTTCCACTCACACTCCTTCGATGGCAGCCCCACCATCCCCCCCTCTCCTAATGAAGTAATCATGTGCGAGTGCGTTTTTTCGGTGGTGCGTTTCGAGGCCATTCGCCGGCGGCTGTAATGCCACCACCCATTGGCGCAGCTTTCACAATTTCCATCAAGCATTCGTTTACCTGGCGCAGCCTGGGCCGATGCACCACCCCAAACC